CGACCCTGTCCGGGTTTTTAGGTTTATGAATGAGGCAAAACCATTTTCTCGGCTTATTTATTTATGATGAGAGGAGCTCCTGGAAACTGGGAGACGACGGCTGGGTGAATACATACATAGAAGCTAATTCGAAACACAAACTCAAACACAAGAAGCGACCAGCAGAAACAAGTGAGAATACAAACTCGCGTTAACGGTAAATTTAAGACTTTCCCCTTCCCTCCAGTAAGATTGTTTGTGTGGAAGCGAGAGGAAAAGCGGAAACGTCCTTGTGGCAGAGCGGTGAGGGTGTCCCTGCGCGTGAGTGTGTGTTCGTATCTGTCTGTATGGGTGCGGCACAGTGGTTTGCATACCACAGAAATTGATATAAATTTGTCGGGGCTCTCAATGTCAAAACAGTTCTCGAATCTTGGAGCGCCTTGTTTATCGATGAAATTCTTGAGATGACCTCACGATGGTAGACACACTGAAGAAGAATTAACGTGAGATTCCAAATAGTTTCAAATGCGTTCCGAAAACCGACAGTGACAAAGCACGATTCGCTTTTACAGAAGATACAAAGAAAACTCTTTTTTCGTACAACCCCAAGAAAAAGACGACGCGAATATCGATCAGGAAACTGGAAATCCAGAAATGATTGTTTTTTACAATAAAACAAAAGGTGTCGATTCTTTTGACAACAAATGTCATAATTTCTCGACAAGCAGAAGGACCTCGCGATGGCCCTTGCGTGTTTTCTACGGAATGTTAGATCAGAGCGTCGTAAACAGTTTCATTTTGTATTCCCTTCTTGAAACTAATGAGGAAAATCGTTCTGTCTACATGTTCGAATCGCCCTTGTGAAGCCATTTCTAGTTAGGAGATTGTTGTTACCATCTATGCAAATGCAATTGTGGTTGCAAATTGAACAATACGTAAACTACGAAGATAGGCCAGAAATGGACGACCCAAAAGACTTTTCACTTGAAAACAAAATGTCTAAACACAAAAGGTGGCAACTTTGTGGCCCTGCCAACTGATCGAAAAACTGTTTTCAAATATTTGAGTTGCGAACGTCTAATGTGCAAAGAAAGTTTGCCAGCAGTGTGCTTTGCCGCTGCAAGATTTGTAAGGCTGTTCACAGTTGCTTTCTTTTCTCATGTAATTTTGATTATCTACTTTTCATTTGTACTACACTTTTCATATGTGAAATAAAATGTTTGAAAAAGTAATGACATTTCCTAACAGAACCAAACAACCATGAATATTTACTTGTAAATATGTAATATTTTTGAGATTTGTTAATTTATATTAATATGTGCATCATAGTAGATAATTATTATGAAAAAAGTTAAGTGTGACTTTAAAACAACGAATTTGAGTCTTAAAATGCATAACTCTATACCACACTTTACCCGCAACAACGAAAAATGACTAAAAAAAATATACTTTTTGGAGAGTACGGTTAAACTGCCATTAAAATCTGAAATTTCGTACCCTGAACTCTCGAAAAAATGCTTTCTTTTGTAGACTGATCACTTTTTTCATTTTAATAACAATTATTGAAAAAAAGTGACTTTTTCATGAACACCAATCAGTTTTTTAAGAATTAAAGTATGAAAAATTGAATTTACAACTTCACAGCTATATCATTTTATTCTTAAGAAAATTATCCATATTACAAAAAAAAAAGTTTTTGAAAATTGGACAATTACAAATTCGATTGAGTGAAAAAAAAAACGGAGGTGTGTGCGCTGAGGATTAGGTAAAATTGAGTGTTTTGGTTTAGAGGCAAATTGAAATTGACTTGTCAAATTGTATGCAGGCACGGCCTTCTCCCACACCCTGCCCCAGATATGAATAAATTATTCATTTTTTTGTACCACATTTGTCACTCGGACGGACCACGGTAACAATACTAGGCGAGTCTATCCCGTTCTACCCTTCTTTCTCTCTCTCTTCTCTCTCTTTCTCTCTGGGAGCTCTCTCTCCGCCTTCGCTGCTGCTTCCTCTTCATTTCCTTTCCCCATTACCGAATATTTGACTGACGGACTGTGAAACACAGCTCCTTTCTTTTTCCTTACGGAAAATCCTTTTTCGTCTAGGTATGCGCGCACATGTGTCTGCTCGTGTTTGTGTGAGTATGGCTGATTTGCTCAAGGTTCGTTTTAATGCGTTCTGATTTTGTTTGTATAGCTGCGCGCTGTATGTGTACACACTTCTTATTGCACTGGAGACGGGTTTTGATTTTAATTTTATTCCAAATAACTGTTATCTAAAGCCTCGGAACCTCCCTTTCTTCACAAACTTTTGGAGGCTGTAAATACAGCTATAGCATGTACAGTTTATCCTTTTCGCCTTCCGCTCCCACTTTACTGGTGGCGGACCGTTAAATTTTGGATTTCTTTAACATACTTTGCCCTGAAGGAGATTATTTCCTTTTCGTTGTGTTCAGTTTTTCCTGCTGAATATTTGTTCTGCTGCCTGGCGATTTTTCACGCTAGTCGCCGCGCGATTTTGTTCGACTAAACTAAGGAGCCCGATAAACTTGACTGATAGCCTAGTGAAAATTTTCGACAGTCAACAAGCCCCAGCAGCAAGGACTTCCGTTCTTGTTCTTTCACCCTCTCGGATCGGAGCGAGCTTTTGCGGCTGAAAGCTTAGCGCAGCGCATGTCTACGAGAGGGGCATGCCACTGATAAGGGTACAGCTGGCCAGCTTGATAAGGCTCACTGCATAGTCGTCCGAATATTACCCCAAGCGCATAAAGTTAATTAGATAGCAGCATTAATGTCTCTCGCCAATCAGTAATTGATGGCAGGAGAAGGAGGAAGCACAAGGCTGCAGCTGGCCTTGAATGGCAATGAAAAAGGTGCAGCTGGTGTCTAAGAGTGTGTGTTGAGTGTAGATGCAAAGGAAACGCATAACAAAGCGGAAGATGTTTCCTTTCTTCAAGACGGGTCTGATGTACGTTGTGTACTACAGAAGTTCATATGTAAATATGTACATATGTATATAAACGCAATCGGCTTAACATATCTTATAAGTTATGAAAAAAGCTTACATACATACATACATGCATACAGAAAATTTGAAAAATTAAATACATTGAAGTTTTATACCTTTTTAAAAAACTGACTCAATGTTGCTTGATTTTTCGATTTGATATTGAATAACCTTGCGATTTGTGACTGCAGCCGTATTAATTGATATTATATACCTTCCATAATTTATTGGAATACATTTTTATATTTGCATATGAATGTACATATGTAGTTATGTTTCAAATGGCAATTTTCACGGGTCCGCGAGCATACTTTCGAATGTTTCACGCTTTCTTTTTGGGACTGGAAAGCATTGTTATAGCTCAACTTTTAACACAGGCTTTTCTTTAACACCCGATTTTGTTCGTTATCTTGATTATTGTTTTAATGGTGTTGATAACAAAAAAAAATAATGCAAAAGCCTTTTAACATTTCTTACTTATATATGCAAATCTTTTTATTTTGCACTTAGTCTTATTGTATTATAAATTCTTATCCTAAAATAATGTTTACATGATTTTTCTTAAGGGGGGTCAAACTATGTAATATCTCATTTCCGAGCGATATATTCAAAAATTGGTTACTAAAAAAACTACAAATGATTTCGGGAAGCAGTTTTCTGAAATGTTATCATTCATTATTGAACATTACACACTTTTTTTGTTTTACAATAAAATTACGAATGTGACCGCTATTATCGTCAAAATTGTCCAGGCGCACGGGGTAAACGATTTTGACCGATCAGATGATCTGAAACCAAAAAATATTCCTTATTGGCGTCTAGTTTTAACTCGGAATTGTTCAATTTAATATTCGCAATGAACTTAATTAGAAAAATATTCGGAAACCTTTTTTTGTTAGTAGGTAAAATTTTATGTGCGTGCTGTACAACATTTTCGGAGTTAGGGACAGCTGCTTCTCCCTTACCGAGAACCCAAAATAAAAGAGACACATGTGCACTGAATTCACAGCGAGACAACAAATTTTCCAGCAGCTGCCTGGCAGTGCATTTAATTTCTTTTTGTATTAAACCGACCCATATACCTGGCTACCTGGAAAAGGGTCCGAGCGGGCTAGAACATTGTAATTTCCGCCAATGATGAACGAAAGTTTTTGATTGATTCAGTCGCCTGAGTAATAGTTAAGGTAATCTGGCGTTTTAATGCAGTTTTGTATTGTAAAATTCTTACCTATGTATTTTAAATTCAGCTTAATTAGTGAGCTATAAATGCATCTGATATCGCTTGCAGGACATCTTAGAGGATCAAATCCTGTAACACCAACATCTGTCCTGTATGACCGTTTTCTTTTCTTTAGGAAACTAATCCTGGAGCGGTATAGTGGCACGTGAGACTTATTCATTATATCTGGTATGGGTCTCTACCTGAAAACTGTCCTGGATTCTCAAGTTACTTTAAATGGTCACGCAGTAAACTTAATGTTTTAGTAAATTTAACTTCTATATTGAACGATTTGCACAATTTGAAAGCTGGTAACCCTTTTTAAAGCTGAGCCCAGGCGAATAATGACTTGCTTCGTTTTTTATATTTATTTTGTTTATATAAAAATTAAAATTTTTATTTTCTTATATTTTTAAATTACAAAAAATGGCAAGCTTTTTATAGCTTGGTAATACTCTTAAAAATAACTGTGACACAAAAATAAGTTTCACCACTAACGCTCTCAGAAAGAGAGCTGAAATACAGCTCTCATTTGGTGCTGGCAAATGCCGAAATATACACCGCAAGTTTATAAAGCTCTCATCGCTCGTCCGTTAGCTTTTCTCGTTCATATGAACTGGGCAAAGAAATGGTTATTATGAAATAAAAACGGCGGAAATGCCGCATTTATAACTACTAAGCGGTACTCAATTTAAATTCCTGTATGCCCAAAATTTCAAGGAAACAGCAAATACGCAGCCAGGAGCGACGCCTACCAACACTAGAGCGCGCCGCTTTAAAAGCCGGTCCGACGCTCTTTGCTCTCTCATTCGGCGTTTTTCTTTGTGACTGTGTGGACGTTCTCACTACGGCTAAATCTCCAGCAATCCAGCGACTTTCCTAGCAAAGCTACTAAAGAGGAAACGGCAGTTTGCACAAATTTATAAAATTTGCAGCTTGTTGAAAACTAAGTGTTGTTCTTCGAGCCTTGCGAGTCGTGTTTAGCGCATACTAAAACCAACAATTTAAACGTGTTTTCGCGCTTCGCTTTTGAACAGTAAAAAAAACCAACCGTAAATCAAAATGGCTGATGTGGCTGAGCAAAAAAAGTGAGTACTTTGTTTGCCTTGAAAGCGGGTGCTTGTGCATTTTGTTTAAACAATTGGATGTAATGGATTTGGAGCGAGTTTCTCGAGTGTACATCTTTTTCAATGTTCGCCGCAACGGTTTGGAAAAATTTTCTTTTGAATTCTGTGTCTACATACGCAAACCGCTTGGCGGCATTAAAGCAGTTGTCTCGCTTGCGCTGATGGCCAGTAGGGGTGCGCGCAAAAAACGACGCCGTTGAATTTGGCGCGGCGTCATGGTGCCTTCTCGCTTACTCTCCGGCCGGCAAACCAACGACAACGAAAATTGACTTGTGTGTGCGTGCTGTGGTGGTAGTAGCGGACTAATGTTTGTACAAGTGTGTGCGTGCGCCAAGCGAAGTGCGCAAAAATATATGAGAGTGATGTTTGTGTGTGTGTGTAGAATTCAAGTTACCGCTCTTTTTCTTGTGCTGTTTAATTTCAGCTGTCTTTTTCTGGCTCTGTTTGCTTTTGCTTAACCGTTTACTTCTGTCCTCACCAGCCCATTTATTTTCGTCGGTTGTCTTTCACACGTTCTTTCTTGCTTTAAGCTCAAAGCTTGACATTAACGGCCGTCGAGTTCTTGTTCTCGCTTCCAGGGATTCTGTCATTGCTGAAAATATTTGCACACGAACAGCACTCTATTCGATCTCGTTTGTTCTTCTCAGCGGGGGTGGTAAAGCAATCCGTTAGGTCTATTGCCGGTTGTCTAAGGTTGTGCCGGTTATCTATGGAGGAAGGGGAAGTATTAAGACTAAGACTGTGTGGCTTTTGACCGTTATTTTTTGTGTGCTTCGCACACTTCAATTTTTCCTCTCGCTCGCTCAACCCAACCTTCTCATTTGGCTACGTGACGCGCGCACTTTTAAACAGCTAAATGTTGCGTGCGAGCGAGTCCACTATAGTGACAGCCGCATAAAAACCAGTTTTTTTTCCTCTTGGCTTGCTAGTTTTATTTCCAACAAGTCGCGCTTTTTAACTTTTTGCAAGTCGGCAAGCATATCTTTTACGCTACCCGCTTTTCGTCCATTTGTACTACACACATTGTAAATGGTACAGAAGGAATACATACACATGAACGCATGCCATTTATATGGAAAAGAGCACGCTGCCAAATGCCGCTCTCACCTTTTCTGGTTTCTTTTTGCGTCGCAGTTTGCACGAGTTGTTGCTCCCATTTATCATTTTACGGCAGCGACGCCGGCAGATGTTACAATGATGCTTTGTGTTGTTGTTGCTGAGCGCCCTTCTCGTCCTGGGGTTGATGGGAGAGAGATAAGGACATAAAGTAGGATGTTATGAAAGAAGGAAACAAAAAAAAACCTTGCCGGCGCTAGAACGGAAAATTTTCTTATTTGAAAACCCCTTGCATTGTGCCTTTGTAATAATGGAGAAGAGAAAAAAAATAGAAGATAAGAGCTTTAAAATATAGCATACAGTTTTTGTAATAGAATAAAAAACTTTTATCTGTTAACTTTATAACTGAAAGAAGTTGTTCCAAAATATGGATATATCTTAATATTTAATAATATATGGTATAATATATTTTTCATATTTTTTTTTTTTTTTTGAGTTCATTAAACTTTTTAGTTATTGATATTAGTTTTTTCAGGATAGAAAAGGATGAATTATATATATCATATTTTGCTAAATGTTGGTATTTCCTTATGTACATATGTATGTTTTTCGGTTATTTCTGCTATTTCTCTTTGCAAGAATTTTGGGAAGTAAAAAAATATCTAATCATCCGACTGCCAAGATGCAGACAAACTGTAGTGTCTGAAACAAATAATTTTCTCAACGGTAACATTTGAATAATTTTTAATTTTTTTTTAATCCACAGCGAGACCCCTGTCGTCGAGAAGGTCGCGGCTGAGGAAGTCGATGCTGTGAAGAAGGATACCGTTGCCGCAGAGGAGGCCGCAGCTGAGAAGCCAACCACTACAGAGAACGGTGCTGTCGAAGAGGAGAGCGCCGCCAAGGAGAACGGAGCACCGGCCGCTGACAGCGCGGCACCCGCTGAAGCTGCGGTCGATGGCGAAAAGGCGACCGAGGCCGCTGCTCCCGCCGCCGCCGCCCCCGAGAAAGAGAAGGAGGAGAAGAAGGATGAGGACAAAAAAGATGAGTCTGCTGTCGACGGCGAGGAGGCCAAGAAAGAGAGCAGCGAGGCAGCCCCTACTGCTGTTGAGAACGGCGCCGAGGAGGCAGCCAACGGCGACTCAACAGGTATGTAGAGATGAATGCTTAAGGGATTTCCCCGCACAGGTGTGAACTCTGTTTTTTATTACCGCCCTGCAGACGCGCCCGTCGTCGAGGCTGTGAAGCGAAAGGTGGACGAGGCCACCGCCAAGGTTGACGAAGCTGTCGCCACGCCGGAGAAGAAGGCGAAGCTGGACGAGGCCAGCACAAAGGAAGAGGTGCAGAATGGGGCCGAGGCTAGCGAAGTTGCTGCTTAAGGCAATCGTCCGCGGAGCAGCAGACTCAGTAATCTACATATTAAATACTTACTAACACAAACACAACACACAAATTACGGTTTTACCTCCAGCACAACGCACCGAACCACCCACCGTCCGCAAGTGTGGGCGGGTGATGCGTGGGCTGCTGAGTTGGTGGCCGGACGCAATTCTCTAAAAACAATCCTGCAATGGGAGCGTAGTCTTAATGCGTGCCGATTCTCTCTGTCTCTACTAACAAACAACCAACCAACCAACAACAAACGAGAAACAACAAAATCCATTATCATTTAAAACCTTACTTAAAAACGTAACTTTAAAGCAAAGTATATATATAGAAAGCAAAAGATTAAGAGAAAAAATGAGTAAGCGAAAGTAAGATGCGAGACCCTCTATGTTTTAAGATTAAAAGTTGTAAACAAAAAGCGTCAAATTTAATAATTGTAATAATAAATACGAAGCGAATGACAAAAATTGCAAACAAAATTTCTAGAAACAAGCAACAAGAAATTTAATGGGCAAAAATAATTTTTTTTTTGTCACTTAAACAATTTTAATTTTACAACCATCTCCTGTATTGTGTATGAATATTTATATATATCAAACAAGCAAAACTACAAAACAGCAAAATGTAACAACATGCTGCCAACAACAATACCCCAGAAAAGTGTACCAACTGGCGAAGAGACAAAACAAATCATACCATATAGAAACAATAAAAAAATAAAAACGGAATAAGAAATAACATTTTTATATAGCAATTAAAGCAGCATATTTTCTGAACAGACGGGCGACGACAGAAAACTTGTGTTTGGAATGTCCTCATAATTAACATTTTGTTCGTCGAAAAATGACTAGTTCCATATTTTCCCATGATATCCGTTTTATTTGCAATTTTCCGTTTAATCACCGTTGCGTTGCTTTCCATTGTCTCTGGCGCGCGTACTTATGCCAATCTTACTAATTTGTAAGTTAGCCGACTTCCACAAGCAGCATTAATCAGTTAAGGGCCCAAAATAACTAATGGCCAAAAACACCAACATACAGCAAAAAGCGAATTCGAGAACATTAAAAATAAATGGAACAAAAAAAATGCTTTGAATATTGTTTCGGCTCATGGGTTTGATTTTATATTTATTTCATATTTGCATTAGTTTCTAAGAAAAGCTGACCTTATGGGCAAGTGGTCACGACTGTACTTTCGTAGATGGAAAGCTGATGTATGAAAAATCGTGGTGGAAAACTTTTTTGTACATAAAGTAACCTTCTGTATTTATCTAGAAAAAGCTCTATTGGTTTTAGCAAAATATTAAAGTGTATGTGATCACGCTGCTGAATTTGAATTAATAATCCTAATTTTGGCTAGAGATTTGAAAAGCAAAGAACTAGACTTACGACCCTATAAAGCGAATACATACAGATGTACATATATTCTTGATGAGCGAGTTCTGTCCATTTCTTTGTTTCTATGCGATTTACCCAATTACATATTTTAAAAGCTGGGGTCTTTAACTGCGGGATTTTTGAAAAGGCCATTTCGATTCCATCCTTTGACTATATCCTGAACTGCTATGTACATATCTGCAATAATAATGGCATAGACCCAATGCCCACCCTAATCAATTTCAAAATTCAATTTTTGGAATAACTGAAAGGCAAGGACTTAGAAAATTTCGACTGGCCAAAGCTATGTTTCTGCTATTTGCAATATAAATGTTTTTACCTATTACCTCACGGAAATCTGGTCATCTTTTTAACAAATAAAATACCCTTATGTTATTAGTTTTTACTTTAATAAGTTATTTGTAAGTGAGTAAATAGACAATTCATTGCAAATAAGACGAAAACGTAGTACCAAAAAAAGCTCTTACTAAGGGAACGTTCAAATGAATCATGAATCACGCTTCGAAAGCTTTTCCGCTATAGTGATATATGTAGATGTTATATACGATAGGAATGTGGAGGTGTGAAACCAACTATCTGATGGTAGACCTAAAAAGTCATAAAAATTAATTAGCTTAAGGGCATACATCTTTGTTTTAATTATTTAATATCCATCACAATTACGAAATCATTTCGTCAAAGAAAACACAAACCACAAAAAAAAAGGAATTACGTTTTCTTTTAATTGTTTTGTTTTTTTTAATAATATTTTTTTAATCTAATGGATGGAAATAATCTAATTGAAAGGAGTTAGTCTACGTAGGAGATTAAATAAGTTGAACGAAAGACGCTGCCAAATAATTTGATAGGTTTTCATCAAATTTTAATAAAATGGACAGTTATTAAAAAACAATTTACCTAAGAAAGCGCTAAGCAAACGTAAGTATTATTTTATTATATATATTTTTTCTGTATATTTTCTTATTTCATAAACAAAGGTATGACTGTTTTTTTAATGAATTTCAAAATTACCGCCCCAAAACTATTGCAGATTTCTGTGACACCCTGTATGTAAATTTCCATGTGGCGATCCGGCAAGGCTCGACTTAACATAAGTAGCTGAAATTGAGCTGGCAACACTAGCATCCAGCAGCATCCAGTTGCCATACTTTTATATCATGGTGAGCGGGTAATTTTAAAGGAAAACTATTTTGAGTGTTCCCTAAAAAATTCATTTCCAAATCTTCAAACAGCTGTTTCATCAAACAGTCGTTACAGCTGCTGTTTTTGAATTTCACTAAGTTTGTTTGTCTTAGCCTTTGCTTGAAACAGAAACTATAGGATTTATTCGCCTTCTTTAATTTACTTTATCACTGGACTAATCGACATATAAAATAGATTTATTGGTGTTAATAACATGTTAGATTCGTAAATGTTAAATCTTTAAAAGTGATAAAATTGTTTTCGGTGTTCAGGAGTGTAGTTTTTACGGCTCCATTTACGTTTTCAGAACTTCAGTTTTAGCAATTTGTTCAAACTTTGTCGAGCTCTGTCATCTATGTTAGGAGGCCTATCCTTATAACTTGTATGGGATAGTTAAAGAATGATCTATTTCTAGTAATATAAGCTACCGATGACCGAAATCTGTTAAGATGAACTGGAGATAAAAAATTAAATTGCCATACAAAAAATTTGAAAAACGTTTTTACACATTAAAAAAATGGTACCATACAAAATACTTTGAGTATCGATCTGAGTCCATCTGCGCCAGAAATCAAGGTTTGATCTGGAGGATTTCATCGATATAAATTTGTAAGCCAGTTTATTTGAAGATAACTTTATTGCTGAGACTAGTGTTGCCTTCAAATTTCAAAATCTATTCAGCAGCCTTTGACTTGCTGAACTGCTAAAATTTCAGACAGTTGAATTTGTATAGAACAGCTGACGAACCGCTGATCGAATTTAAGCAGGACTGAACTTCCAGTTTTAGGTTTTTACGTCATAAGAACTTTAAAATTGTAAATAAAAAATATTGGAATCTGATGAAAAAAAGACGGCCAATATAGTTTATAGTACAGCGCGGGGAGCTCGTGCCCACCGTCACGAAATATATACGGAAACTTCCAGAAAAGCTTTTGTAAACATATTTTTGAAACGCAATTGAACGCCTACGACCTAGAAAAAAGCCAGCGTAATAAAGCTAATCCAAAAATATTTCTTTTTAAAACAGATACAAACAACAAACAGGTTTTGGTTCGCTGTCAAGGCTTAGATTCATGCTTATATTTATTTGACAGCTTTTTTCGATATATGAGGGATTTCTAAAATTCATAAATTTAAATTTCGAGAGTATTAAAAAATGATTGTGTTATTTTTCAGGGCTCCCGATATCGTAATTCAAAAACACAACTGATAAGATAGCAGAAGAATTGCGAGAAGAAGCGAAGAAGAGAGTTGGTAGTTCGCTCGCCGTCTCTCGCTCTCGTCGCCACTGTTCCCACTTAAAATAAGCTTTTGTACTGGGCGCCGACGATCGAAGGCGGCGAGTGTTAAGTAGTCGAACCTACAGTGTTCTCGCAAGTAGACGTAGTCGCGTTAAAACAGAAACCGAAACTGAAACCCGTAAATGTGACTAAGCCCGTGCATGTACTTAATAATATAATATTGCCATTGTTGTTGTAGCTATATTTAATACCAAGTGACGTCGAAACAACGGCCAATAGCAATCCGTTCAAGTGCTTTTAACCTCGTCCCATATTGTTGTTGTCTGACGAAGCGTGTTTGTGAGTGCCTGCCTACCGAAATTACCAACGAGCATAAAGCAAGAGAGGAGGACAATGTCCACAAACCTGCAAAAGGTAAAAAGTTTAAAATTGCAGGCGTCGCTTAAACATTTTCTTCCTAGCGGTTTGCAAGTGTGTAATTTGCCAACTTTTTTCCCACACAGTTCGTGCAATGACCTCTGTGTTGTTTTAAGCTTTTCTTACTCAGATCGTCACTGTTTACTGGAGAGTTTGTACTTATTATTGTCAGAAAACCACGCTAAGAATTTCAGTAAGTTATGGATTAAATTTGTAGTCAAATATTGGTACATAATACATAAATGAAATAGTAATTTTTTTTTTAATTCTTTTTGACTTATTAATAATTTGACAGTTCAGAATTACGCTTTTAATTTTTTTAAAATCGGAAAACGATATCACATAGCTGCCATAGGAACTATCAATATTTTTAAGCATATACGCAAGTAAATCATAGGGTATATGAACTTCAGCTCGCCGAAGTCTGCTTCCTTTCTTGTTTCGATAAGAAAACGGGATTGTACGACATCACATTGTTATTCTTCAAGATTTGTGGTTTTTCTTATAAGTTTTAATGAGCTTTTTCTTTTATAGTTCATTGACCTATTATCATGTAACCATCACCTACACATCCTTTTGTTGTTTCTGACTAAATCTCTCATTCCATCTAGAGTTCTTGCGATCCCTGGCTGATTCGCAATCGCACAGAAAGTTTTCTTATCGGCCCTCGTGGATCACTTCTTCGTAAATGGGCAATGACTCCGACCTTTATTTCCTTTTATCAGTAATTAAGCGTATAGTCATTTTGTATATTTCTTTTTTGAATCGCGTGTGGGCTCACCCGGTTTTCAAAAGTGAATTCTGGCCAGTCTAGATTATACATATGTCCGAGTGAATTTGACAACATTGTTGCGGTTAGATAGCTACCATTAAAGTCACGTGTTTTGTATGTCATTGCGCAGTTACCATCTCAATTGCAGTCTGATAGATTATTTTGCCAACAATTTCCCAACGTTTCTCATAGGGTAATTTGAGTTGAAAATTGTGTAACAGTTAGACGGCAGCTTGTAAGATGTTATATTTGGGGTTTATTTTCTTGATCTACCCGTCCGTGTAAGCGTCCAGAAATCTCACTGTTTTTGGTCGGTATTTATTCGGTTAATATCTACCGACATTTTCAAAATCAAACGAATATTTAACAAATTTGTAAGAAAAATAAACGTAAACGAGAGTAACAAGTGCCAGATAAATGTGCCTTACCGCCAGATGGCGCCTTATCTTTATTATTTGCCGCACTGTTGCGACATCTGATTTGGAAAATGGATTAATTTTTAAGTTACTTAACAAATTGTCAATTGTATGTACTGTCTGAGACATTTTAGACTGTAGGTGTTGGACTCTGTGTGTGTGTTTTTCAGTCATATCTATCGGTAACACAAAAGTGATCAAAATCAAGTCTATATCTTAGAAGTAATGTGTTTTTTAAGTCCTATGCTTCTTAGGGTGCTGCACGCTTTTAGCTTCTAGTGTTTTCTATGCTGTTCGACAGATGGCGCCACCTAAACTTCGACTGTTTTGTAAGGGGAATATCTAATAGTCGGGAAACTCGAGAATAGGGTTTTCTCTTGTTTTTTTTTTTAAATATAGCGTAAGTGGGAAATTTTTGAGGTTTGAAAAGTGCTTGCTTACACAAATAAATAAACAAGTTCAGATGTAAATCTTTCTATCTGTACGTATGGGCTTTAAATCTCATTAGCACCCCTTTAACGTTCATTGTTAAGTTCAAATTGACTTTGTTTTCACTAGCATTCTGGTTTCTTATCACGATACGATACAATTTGATTTACACGGATCTCCATTTCAAGCCCTAAATTTAGGGTATCATTAAATAATATAATAATTAATATTAACACCATTAACCGATTATTGTGTTATCTTGATGGCAATTAGATAAGATCTAACAATTAACAAGTGCTCATAAATCATGCAATAAAATCACGTGTAATCCCTAATATATATATATATTATAGAATATTGATTTATTCGAAAGTAGAGTTATTTTATATCTACTTTATGGGCGTAACTTTGCTATAAACATAACAAAAATTATCTTCCTAGATTCTATTAAATTGCTTTAGAAAACCATGTTTTTTCTAGAAGAGACGTATATGACGTGTGCGGTCCAAAGTCACTAACGTTTAGTAAAAGCTAAGTTTGCAAAATCTAATCAATTGAATTTTTTTTTGGTAATCTGGATTATCATTTAAGAAATGACCTACATAGTGCAGCCGTCTGTGCGTAAAATATTTTGCATTTACAAAGTTGCACGTTTTGCAACAAAGTTGCACAAAATAAGTAGTTCTTCTACGATTTTTTTCTTATTTTGACTTAAATCGTACCTTGGTTTCACACTTAACGCTCAATTTATGATATGGTTAAGATTGATAACTTTGAATACTTCGTTATCATTATATAATAGTTTGCTGATAAGTACGCAACATTTTATGGTGACGATAAGACTCAGTAACTTATAAAGTTTATTAGCCATTAGCCATATTTCGAGGGGCAGATTGCCAATCTGGCCACATCTGCGTTTTCCCGAAAGGGGGGTTCGAACCTCAATAACAGGCGAATGGATTCATGTTTTCGAAACTTTAATAACATTTTCATACAGTTTTTAAATTTTTAATTTTTCTGAAAACGCTTACGTGTTGACGAATTTGGCCAGATTCAGAAAACTTTACTTTCGATCAACTCTTTTTTTATCGCAGATTATTTATTATTGGTTTTTCTTTCTTCAGAGCGAGGAAATAGGTTTCATTTCAACAGCATCGGGAATATGGACAATCAAAACTGGACAAACATGATAAGAATGTGTGAGTTTGTTCGTATTGCTGTAAATTTTGGGTGGAAAATTTTCATGCGTGTCATGAAGGTTGCGTGGAATTTTCCACGGACTATGCGAACGCTTCTGCTGCTTCTGTCAATGTATGGCTTTTAGTTTTGAAAACATAATAAAAATGTGTGTACATAAACCGTACAATATCGTACGTTCCAAACACTTAAATAATATTACATTTTTACAACCTAGAACGTTTGCATTTTTGAAAAGTACGTTTGTCCAGAAGCTCAAATTTGAACATAAAGATGTTTGTTTACGAAAAAAAAACAAATAATTAAGTACATGTACATGTATTTGTAAAATGTTTTTGAATTAATATAAGCATACATATGCATCTTACGGGACTACTGGCGAGTCGGCGTCCAGTTTGATCGGATAAATCGCAGTAATTAAATGTACTTGACCATGTCAACGCCGCCATAGGCCTGAACATACATAAAACTGTAGATTACTAGCAGGTGTGTGGTTAAGTACTAATCTTATCTGTAAAATGCTTCTAACGGAGTGTTGTGAAAAAATTACATGCAATTCTAGCCTTCAAATCGGACACGTTTACCCACTCTTTTTACCTGCCCTCGCCGACGAACATCTGTTGGAAATCTCAGCGAGCGAAATCCTTTTCGATTTCTACCTAGGCGTCTATGAGGTGGACATATGTTTACAGTTCCAATCGTTCGGCGGGGGTGGCGCCCTCGGTTCATAGAAGCGGTGGTGGTGGTGCTGCAGAGCTACTACAGCCGCCGAGAGAGCGAGAGCGGTGCGGTTCGGATAGTATTTGTATGTCGGCTACCCCTGGGCCTTGGTCTTGCCACAATGAGTCAGTTTGTTTTTGTACGACCAGCTGGGCACTACTTATCGCTTAGAGTTGAGCCCGACCGCAAGACTTCCTGTGTGCCTTCGCCTCTTGTTTTTACATTTATATAACACGATTTACATTATACACACATTAATATTTGCATACACTGCGCGTAGCATGAGACAGCGAAATCGTAGGAACAGTAAAGCACTGAAACGTCGCCAACAGCAGGATAATATAGATCAAAACTGTTGTTTGAGCAAACGTTGCAACTATGATAATATTTGGCAGCATTTTAATCGCAATGTAAGCCCATGTTTAAATAACAAATATTTCTTTCCAAATTTCATGATATGATTTAACTTGAAAACCATCGAATTGTGTAAATTGCAGTAATCCCTTTGTTTTTATAACGTGTCGCAATGAATTTTAAACTAGATTTTCTTTTATTGTCTGGTGATATTTAATCAATATGTTTTATATTGCTTGTTTGCGCCTCTAATTGCATTTCCATTTTCGTACCTGCAGTGTTTTTGTTATTTTTAGTACCAAGGCAATTTGTTTTGTCGATTTCTCGCGTGCCCTCAGTTATTTCTCTCCTTGTGATTCTCTTTCATGCCGATTTCTCTCTGGCATTAATAGTTTCTTTCCTCAAACCACCCATCACCTTCTCTATTATTTTCAGGCCACCCCTGAGGAAATTCGCCAAGCGGCCGCTCGCATTTGCCGGGACTATCTAACCGGACGTTGGAAAGTGGTTTCTCCAGAGAATTTGGTGGTCAAGCGCGTAAGGTAAGAAGACCTTACAGATTTAACTTTTTTGAAGTTAACACTTAAAAAATTAAAAAAAAAATAATAAAATTAAAAAACATACTAAATTAATTTCTGAATTCAGAACAACCATTAAATGCCAAAGACGAATTTAACCATTTTGAAATATTAAATTATTCATTTTCCAATCCCGTATATATCAATTAAAAGAAAATGTTATTTTTGTTTTTGATACTTTCTTTCTGCGTACAAAGACAGACAAGAAACCGGAGTTTCGTGAAAACCTGTTTGTTTTCAAATTCCAATTTGTGAAAAATTGTACTTGTACGTTCGAAGTCACATTTCAACAATTTTTCAATTTAAAAATTAGGAGTCGCACTACAAATTTATAACCACTTTTTGCTTGCAGTGGAGGTCTGTCAAACTTCTTGTATTACGTAAGTCTTCCCGACTTAGATGACTTAGATGAGCTGGAGGAACAACAACAGCTGCAGGCAAATGTCAACGTCAGCAAAGACGTCATAGCCACCACAACTTTGTCCAATAATAGCCCCGTTTACACACGCGACCATGCAGATGAGGCCAGGCCGGTAGGCGTGTCATCGTTGGCTCCGGAATTGGCAAGTAATGACGATGGCGATAATGACGACGATGATGACGACGCAGCAACTATCACCAAACAGGCGCACAAGCGTCAGCGGTTCGATAGCGATAGCCGCGACTCGAGTTTGATGAAGCGATTGCACGCCCCAAAACAAGAACCCCGTGAGGTAGGTCATTCCCTGCAGAGCCTGGCTCCTTAGCTAGAACCTAATACCTGGGCCATGATCTTAAATTACAGGTCCTGCTGCGCATCTATGGACAGACCCATGGCGATCACGCGCTGGACAGCATGATCAAAGAGTCGGTGGTGTTTGCGTTGCTCAGTGAGCGGAACTTCGGACCCAAGCTGCACGGAATCTTTCCCGGGGGACGCATTGAGCAATATATTCCTGTATGTCGAGCCTTTCTCCGTAGATTAGTTGGCAAGAATATTATATAGGAGAATATTCTGTTATTGTTACCAGTTCAATACTGGTAGTCGTTTTTGTTGCGCAACCGCTACCGAAATACAAAATTTGACCAAATACTGAAACCGTTATCGAAATAGTTATATTGGTTGTAACCATTAATAGTAACCCAAACCTATAAATGATTCGGTTTTAATCCCTGGTTTTTCCTCTCAAAAAGTGTAAGAAAAACTTTATTATTAGACCGTCTAACTTAATAATATTAAGTTAATATCCGTAAAAAGTTTAATCAAAGCGATTACTTAAAACGATTCACTTGTAGCAAAACTTATTTCTCTCTCTTGCAATTTAGGAAGCATTTGCGAATGAAGTCTATCGCAAGAGACACACTTATAAAGGTACCACAAAAATTATTTGTACATGTATGGACTTCAGGTTGAAATAGATTACTCTATTATCATTTTGACGACCATTAATACAACAAATTTAATAAAATTTATTTAAACTTTTTATTCAGGCACGTTCCTTAACCACTGCGGAATTGGGAGAGCAACGCATATTAATGAAAGTGGCTGAGAAAATGGGTGAAATTCACAGCCTGAATATTCCCATGTCGAAGGAACCGGATTGGATATGGAACTGTATGCAGCGTTGGGTGACTAGCCTGGAGAACATTATGAAAGGCAATGTCCAATCGAAACCGAAGTCTTCAGTACTGGAGAAGCAAATGGAAATAATGCGCACCTTCGATTACGTGCAGGAGATCGCATGGATAAGATCGGTGATCGATGAAGGCGACTATCCAGTTGTGTTTTGCCACAATGATCTCCAGGAGGGAAACATACTGCTGCGTCAGCCGACGGTTGGACAAAACGAACGCACGCCGCGGGTGTCAATAAGTAGTCTAAGGTGGGTTTAATAACAGGAAATTATAACTCGAGTTTATTCATAAAAGTCTCTTACATACACTAGTTGTATACCATCTTATATTCGTTTTATACTATTTATCCTAAATTCTCCTAAATTTTGTAAATTTTTTTTAGAATATATTTAATGGTTTTCAGTTGGATTTTATGAAATTTCTTAAAATGTGCTGACTTTATTCAGCAGCAGTAATGTTAACGTGAGTTTTTTAAGTTTGATAGAAAAGGTTTACAAAAGAATAGCCTAAAAATTAACTTTTTTCAAATTTGTATTATATTTAATAAATATAATATACAATATAATCATCGTTTGGTGAACTGCTTTTAATCCACTTTCACGTTAAATGACATACATATTTTATATACTTTACAGATCCAATTTCGACGAAACTTTGGGCGATAGCCTTGATGGCAACAGCAACATCTCGGAACCGGAGACATCGTAAGTTCATCTCGATAATTCGAGAAATAAGTAAACTGCTAACCCGTTGTTTTGTTGTGGCCTGCTAACCAGTAACTACTTGAAATTGGCCCATTAGTCGTAAGTCTCTGCTTGCCAGACCCATATAAAACTACCTACAATTCTAGATGGCCCCAATTCGCTGCGGTCGTGATTTGAGTTAAAAAAGTGTGTGCTGGTCAAATATATTTGTTGGCCAAAGCAAAACAAAATACAGGTTATTCATGACATTCAGTTGAAGCGGTGTATATTTAGTGCTAACTATTACCATAATCTCTTCGTTCTACACAGTAAATCGCACAGCATTTCGCCAACGCCTTGTCCAGAGTTGGACACAACGAACGACTCAGCACTCGATGCCAGCTTTACTACCGATAATGAGCCGGATCTTATTATCATAGACTTTGAGTACTGTGCTTACAACTATCGTGGCTATGATCTTGCCAATCACTTCATTGAATGGACCTTCGACTATACCAATCCGCAGTTCCCTTACTTTTACCACAATCCCAGCAATTGTTCGACTGTTCAGCAGCGGCGCGACTTTATTGTGAACTATCTAAAGAAGAACCACGATGAAGAGAACTACAATCCCACTAGCCAGGAGTTGGACAAGGTGGATGCCGAAATCCAGTTCTTTATAATGCTGTCGCATCTGTTTTGGAGCCTATGGTCCGTGGTCAATGCCACGTCGGCTATTGAGTTTGGATATTGGGTGAGTATATAGTAAGCTTAGAAATACATTTCGAAGGAGAATCTTTTTTATATTTATATAAACATAAAAGTGATGTGCTAACAATAAATTTTATTTACTTTTTGTTCATTTTTCAGGAGTATAATGATGCTCGAATTGTGGAATATCAAAAGCTAAAGGCAGCCTATCTGGCAAAATGAAGCCAATCGAAAATCAAGGGTCAAATATCAATAATCTTCACTTAAATCGAATTAGAACCGTAATTAAGTGGCCTTAAATATTGAAGTCCCAAGCTCCCCGCCCGTCGTTGCCCCCTTTTAGAAATAACATTGTACGGCGCTTTACCTAGTTTGCTAGCAACGAGGTTATTACAACACTACTTCAATATTTCACAAGGAAAAGGGAAACCGTTCAAAAAGACTTACTTATTTTTGTATGGAAAAATTAGCTATTTAGAATTGATAAAGCTGATATTAAAAGTCATAATAACAATTATTGCTGTGATTATTGCGTGAGACAGGTGACAGATAAAGCGACAACAACATTTTATATAGTCTGTGAAATGGGACGGAATCGTCCCTCACCCATCTGATTCGATCGAAAGAATTAGAGACAGTACCCAGCACATCCTTAAATATTAAAATCTACGCAGGATAATTTTACCATTATGCATTACATCTTTAGCAAAACACAATCTTTGTTACTTTCGAATTTATTAAATATTCGAATTTTTTGTTTTTAACTCCAAAAATTATTGTCGTATCTAAGTATTATTTTGCATTCAATCACGAGTCCATACTACGCTTCTTCTATATACTAAAAGCTTAGTCAAAATTCCTAACGAAGCTCTTTTCTACTTGATAAGTCAAGGATTTCAGGCGAGTTCTAATTCTCCGCCAGCAACAATTATGTGTTTTTTATGTACCAACCCAACAATACCAAATTCCTTATTAGAAATTAATTGTATGATTTTAGAATTTAAAATATTTCTGCGTATATTTTTTATAAATAAATAAACATTTAAAAACGAAATATAAGTTTTTTTGCTAACTGAAACCTTATGAGATGCCCATTTTTGACGGTGGTTATTAAAGGTTCAAGATCGATTCCATTGGCCAGAATATTTCTGGACAATTTTTGTTTTTGGGATTTGCGGAAGTATCTTCATCTAAGAAAATAAATGAATTGACAGGGAATTACTACAGGGTGGTCCACAAAAAAGTGACGTTTTAAAATGGATTAAAAAAACGTGTGGACGTTTTTCAAATATTTTTTTATTAAGTAACCCCAACAGTGCGGTTTACTTGTTGAGGACCACTTTATTCATATGGCTGCCCCGTCAGGCATTGCAGTAGGTCATCATCATCATCATTATTATTATCATCATCATCATCATCATCATCATCATTTAATAAAGTTTTTATCTGTATCCGATTTTATGCGACACAAAGATATCATAGCAGATTAAGATTGGAAGCTTTCAAACAAGAAAATAAGCTGCCAAAAGGTTGGTCTGCCTAATTTTAGAACTCGAGACTTTATCCAATTACTAAAACACTTTGACATTATTTCAAAACATAATGAACTCGACTCCAACAACTGTCAAAGCGGACCCAGCCAACCGATAGTTAATGCAGCAGCAGCGGGACGTATCGGACGGAAAGGAATGACCAGTGGGACCATTTAGCAATGCTTAACAGGCTTTTCCTCCCCCGCCGTCTGAGTAATTGACCCCAGCATGGTCGTGTCTTGTCTTATCCTTTATATAATGAAATGGAATGTACGCTTCTATGGGCAAATTCAATACAAGGCTATTGTCTGCGGGTATGCTACAGCCAAGTTCCAACTGGTCTAACAGCAAAACTAGTACTATGGCTTAAACACGGGCGCAAACACCGAGCTTGCACACAATTCAAATGTGCCACCACATGTCCTTAGATGTCTGTTGAGAACTAATTAGTCACCGATAAACCGGTTGATGTTATTGATTTGTTGTACAAGGATTGTGGACAGCAGGTGAAGAAAATATCTTGATATTTAATATTAATAAACACAAGGACTAGTGAAAAGTATGAACTAGTGAGAAATGGGAAAATCTATTTAAATATGTTTAATTAAAATAATTCTTTTCTTAGGTTAGGTTAAATTCAGCTTGTGTTAGCATATGTGCCCACCAGTCAGTAGCCAATTAGCGTAGGTGTTATCAACCCGTAATAACGGGCCATGTTTGACAGCCGGGCTGGGTTGGCTAGACTTTTGTGTTGATTCTTCATATTAAGCCGACAAGTTGGCATCGGCATACCAATGTTCTTCTCATACTGAAGGAGAGTAATGGTGCCATGCCTTGTGCCTTAAAATTGCCTGCGATGTTTCATTGTCCGGGAACATCATACAGGATTTCCTGAAGCTAAACTGGTCACAGTATATGCCTTTGCTTACGTGGTTTTCTAATTTGGAGACGTCAGTGTAGACACTGATTGTTTATGATGAGCCCGACTGACAGTGCTCCCAGTCCTCTCTACTTGAACACAGGGCCTAAAATCAGGGACCGCAGTCTAATTAGCTGTCTTCATTAAAGCGGAATATTTTGTATTTGGTTTAGCTACCCAAATAAAGCATAAACATATATCATTAATTTTTATAAAAAAATAGTAAAAATTTTAATAACAATAAAAGTTGCCCTGTGTTATTAACACAAAGTACACTAACTTAAATTTTTAGGCAAAGCGGTTTTTAGCGGTTTAGGATAACGGTTAAGATGTTCTTGATTAAAGTCTGGTACTCAGATCGATGAACAGATACGCCAGCGTATAAAGTTTAAAAAGCAGTTTTGTTCTTACAGCCTTATTGTCAGTTAGCTGGGCTTGTTGACAAATGGAAAACATTGTAAAATTTAACCCGCCAGCTTGCAACTATATTTAATCATTATCAATACTGTAATTGTATATGTAATATTGGGGTTTTGGGGTTTACTTTGGGGTCCTTCTATTTTTTGATCCGAAAAATGCTAGCTCTGCTAACTATAATCACAAAAGATGAAATTTTTTATTCTTTACGCAGGGACTTGGCGTACTTTCACTCACAGGAATCTGGCAACGCTTTTTTTTCGTCAAAGGAAATGATGCCAAAAATTCTTCCATCATGATCAGCAAATGGAACGTTAAAATAGAACGCTTCTCTTTCGTGATACTTGATACATATCTGCTAGCCTATATCGATGGTGTAAATATCGATAAGAAGAAAAATCAGATCAGAATTAAGATAAGAAACAAACAAAACAAGCAAAAATTTATTAATTAATGCGTAATGTATCATACGCGTTCAGCCGAACAATCATGTTGTTTTGGTGAATACATCGATTAATATTGCGCTCAGAGCTGAGTAAGAAGCAAGAATTGTTGCAAGGTGTGGTGAAAATGAAACTCTTGAAACATTTTCCCCTCTTTGTTTCCAACAGTTCGAGTTGTGGTGAAAATGAAACTCTTGACACATTTTCCCCTCTTTGTTGCCAACAGTTTGAGTTCGACAGAAAGGAAGTGTTTGGACAACTTCTAACTTAAGATTACTGCCAATCGTAGGTTGCTTTCAAACGTAAAATGGAGTTGCTGGTAACGTGTTGCAAGCCTGGTTAGAAGGGGAATCGGTTTGAGTCGAATCATTTGAAATTTTAACCAACCCCCACTTTTGCTTAATAAATGACATTTTTATAGGCCAGAAAAGACTTTAAGCCTTTCAATACGCTTAAAATACCTTACAAACCCGTAGAAACCCGTTGCAATGTTGGTGGTCGAGTGAGTGATACAAACTTCGATATTTTTCAGCATTCATTCATTATATTTTCCCATGCTAAGCCTATTAACGCCAACGCAGCTATTTGGCTTGGGAAATTTGTAAACTTTGCGCGTTGGTTACGTTGAAGTTTTGAGCTAGCATTAGAAACAAACGTACATACATAGCTGAAAAAGTAACAATTAAATACAGTTTCTTAAAAGTGTCGCCAAAAATAGCATTTTCGCACTTTCAGCTTATCCGCAACTCAGTACATACAGTATGGACTAAAGTATATATTTTAACATTTCTATTTACGTTGACTTAACGGCATCTCGTTACCAACAAACTCGAAAATCGCGTTCTTTCTTATTTTGAACTTACTTTAATTCAGTTTAAGAACAATATAGTATTGTTTCCTTTCCACTTTTTACACGCAGAAAACACAGCTTTAAAATTTATCGTTTAAGCTGCAAAAAGAGGGTATTACTTTAAAAATGATTCGACCCTGATTTTGGTCCTAAAGCATTCTTTGTGTAATTCTATATAATAAAGAAATATACCCTTGCAGAGGGTATTATAATTTCAGTCAGAAGTTTGCAACACAGTGATCCTATAAAATATATATATTCTACGCAAACTAGTCTCTCAGTTTTCAAGCTATCTACATGAAACTTTCCCTAAACTTCCCAACTTTCTTTCATTTGCAGATACAGATACATAAGTCGGATCGAGCCGGATCGGACGACTCTAGCATATAGATTCCATAGGAACAATCGAGGGAAAAAAATGAAAAAAAATTATAACTTAGGTGCTTTTAAATTTTAGTTTCTTTTTTAGCAATTACGGTTAAAATTTGATCTAAATCGGACGACTATATCATTAGCTCCCGTGAAAAAAACAGAATATTAAAAATATTAACTCAACAAAAATCTGACATCTATTTCAATATCGACAGATATTAAACGAATACATATATACCAACCAAAAATTTGTTTATTTTTATATATTTCGTGAGTTTAAAAACAGTATTACTTTTACTGTAAGTGTAAAAAATATTGGGCAAGGTATTGCCATAAGAGAGCGGAAGTGAAAAAGTGATATATTCTACTTTTGATTTGGTAAGTCTGCATTAAGAATAAATTTTCTGACAAAATGAATATATTTATTTTATATGAATATATTTATTTTAGTTTATTTATAAATTATTACTCTTATTACTCTTCTTCTTCTCAAGAGTGCCAAGCAAACAAGAAATTTAAAAATATTCTGAGCACCTTTATTTTGAAAAACTAAATTAATTTATAAAACGAGAAGGGAACTTCAGCAAGCCGAAGTTTTTATACCCTTGCAATCAAGGGATGGATCCTAAACCATATGATGATAGTAAACCTTCGTCAGACAGCGAGAAATGTATATGCACAATTCTTCGAAACCAAAAATAATTAATAATTGTTACCGGATTTAAAACGCTGTTTTTGAACCTAAACTTAACTTAAACAGAGTCTACGACACACATACCGTCGTGGCTATGTCAAAAATATCTATATTTTGCAGATCCTTTACTGCGTTACAATCTTCTGTTCAAAATTATATTACGGTCAGCAAGGTTTTACCAAGTTTTGCGGCTAAAAGTTTACTTTACAATTACCAATTTAATATTAAAGGTCTTTACCATTACAATGTGAGTAAATGTGTCGTCTTTTGTTTCCTCTTTTTTATTTCCCGCTTGGCAACTATTTTTCTCTTCTACAGATATAGCAATTCAATTTCATGGGTCTCTGAGTAGGACAATTTGCCTACTGTGCAAGTGCTAAATAGTTGACTGCATGGTAGGAGGTGGGAGGCCCGCACTCAGTTATATCAGTCGTGGATATGAACATACATCCGTACACTCAGCAAACAAATGAACTGAAGCGTTGATAGCCTCTGTTCCATGGTCCTGGGTTCAGGATCCGTATCCATGTAAATTCTCTGAAACATAATGAAAACTTTTCGATCGAATGCATTCTGCCCGCCCACCACCAACGGTTGACTGTTCGTAATAGTTGAGTTCGTTGAGTTACTGTCCAATGAAAACATATAATCGTTAATACGGGTGCGTAAATAGAGCAGCAGCTGCAAGTACATTTATTTAACAAATGTGGTGCACTTTAAAGTTAACATTACATATGGAAAGAGTCGGTTATTATTTTTAAAAAAATATAATATACCGATTATTACATTTTTGGTTGCTAAATAGTAACTGATAATTAATTTA